CGGAAGTGGTGCTGTGGCTCAAGTGGTAGAGCGCTAGCCTTGAGCTGAAGAGCTGAGGGGCAGCGCCCAGGCCCAGAGTTCAGGCCCCATGACTGGACCCCAAGGAAAAAAAAAAAGAATCTCATGACTTACCTGTTCCAGCTGGCTTTCAACCATGATCCTCTGCAGATCTCAGCCTCCTAAGTAGCAAGAATTACAGGAGAAATCCACCAGGACATAGCTAACAGTTGTTTTATTAAGTAATAAATATTTTAGGGGTATTTGAGCCATGTTGTGCAGGCGAAGCCAGATACAGACCAGCTGTGACAGGCCTTCTCCTGGCAAGCCAGTCACCAAAAGATTGCCTGTATTTCTTCCTCTGCAGATAAAATCGCCAGCAAGCTGTCTGATTCTATGATGACAGCCCTCGACCTTTCTGGGAATGGTGATGACAGTGCTGGAGATTGATCTGCTGATGTCCCTCCCCTCCTCTCCAAACTTGTATTCCTATGGGATGGGAGATAATTGGTTCTCCTAGAAGTACCTGTATATTGAAAGAATACCTTTACACCCTTTATCTCCTCCCCGCATGGTTCCCTCCTTTCTCTCTGGTAAAAAGAGTCCCAAGGGACTAGAGCTGCCAAATCCAATACCCTGTATTTAATCCCTACTCTTTTCCAAGAGGCATTAAATATCAACAGAAATTAGGTGCCAACAATATATTTCCCATCTCCTATCCCAGGGTCTCAACTCTGTAGTTTGAACTGATATGAGGGCTTACTTCCCACCAAACCGTGTTGGACAGCTGAATATACAAGTAACTAGAGGTTAGACTGCTGGTTGTCCTGGACATCCCCAGAAGAAGGGTGATTTTTTTTTTTTACCATTCCACAAGGGATTTGAACAGGAAGTAATTCCTTGAGTTGGCTCTCAGCCATGTATCTTGTTCCTAAGTCTACAGGTCTCACCTGGGTGATAAGTGGACATTAGGTGCATCAGTGATGAATCTTCTGTCTCTGGAAGGGTCTGGAGAATGGTGAAGTGGTATAGACCTTATTTTGTTGTTGTTGACAAGAAAAAGGCACCTATTGGTGGGACACTGGATGCCTTAAGGACAAGTCCAATCTTGTCACTTGTGTGCTTTTGGAGGAATCACTTTAATTCAAGTGATTCACTTGGCCACACTTTTGTGTGACCTTGTCTCATGCAGTGCCATCTTTTGAATGCCATGATTCAAGAGGGTTCTGGTAACCTTTATTCAGAATGGTCCTCAAGAAAGCTGCTACAGGTGGGAATGTATGAGCCAACTCTACCCCGTGCCTGGAAGCCACTCCATTACAGCATAATTAACACCTTTGGGGCATCTTAACCCTGTCAGGAAAGCACCTGGGACCCTGGGTTAGCTTTTTATCACTACAGCAAAATTCCTGATTGCCTACAGTGTTTTGTCCCTGTAGTAAGGTATCATGTTGCAATAGGTACTTGTGGTAAAGCAAAACATCTCATGGTCAAGAAGCAAAAAAGGAAGAGGAGTTTGGGAGGGTGTCCCACAATCCCTTTGGAGAGGGTCTTCCATCAAGCCCCACCTGATGGGAGTTTCCTTTCCCTTCCAATGGCGCCACCCTGTGACCAACCTTTAACACACAGGCTTTTGAGTAATAGGTGGGATCCACCCAAACAAGGCCACAGAGATGATTTCAGTGGTATTCCAAACAAAATCTGTTTCTAATGGAGTTTTGGTTCATGTATACAGCTTCAGTTCCTGAAGTTCTACTTGAGCTGACACATTGGAAGCAGATGAATATTATATTACTTGTATTATTTGCCACCTTCTCCCAAATACCACAGGGAAATTGGAGTAGTGGATAAACCAGCCTTTGCCCTTGTCAGTCTCAAAGTCCCTACCTCCCTCATTTACATAGGAAGATACTAAAAGGGAGATTGTAATAAGTACTGAAAAGCCATTGGCTGTAGGGTATCCTGAGACCCCTTCTACATTCAGGGGCATCCACAGGAGATGATTATTGATTGAGCACAAACCACTGAGCTCTGAGAATCTATTGTTTCCTTTATTGTTTTGGTGTCACTATTGGGGCTTGAACACTGGGTCTGGGTGTTGTTCTTGAGCTTTTTTTTTTTTTGCTTAAGGCTAGCAATCTTGTCACTTGTTCCACTTCTGCTATTTTTTTTTTGGTGATTAATTGGATATAAGAATTTCATACACTTTGCTACCAGGACTGGCTTTGAACTGTGATCTTTAGCTCTCAGCATCCAAGTGTAATTAAATTGAAATGCTGTATTTCCTGTGGGTGCGTTGTGCTGCCATCTAACAAATGGACAAGGATCATTTATCTACAGTGTACCAGACTGTTATGGAGTCCTTTAAATACATTTGATCTTTTTTGGTTTAGAAAAACTAGTATCTTATAAAGCTGTGCTCCCAGAGTCTTCTTCAATGATGTCCAACTTATTTCACACTACAGTGTCACATTATCAGTAGATAATAATCAGTAGATAAGAATGTCAGATGCCAGGCATTCTACCAATAACATATCAAGTTTTTTTTCTTCTGTATTTCACTCTAGCTTATGCTAGCCTTGAACCCATGATCCTCTTGCCCCTGCCTCCCAAGTGCTAGAGTTACAAGTATATGCTACTATTCCTGACTATATCTCAAGTTGTTTTTCATTTTTATCCCAATGCTGACAATTGTACATACAAGACAGGCACTCCACCACCAATCTATGCTCCAGCTCTCAAGTTTTTATTTATTTTTTTTGTGGCCCTAAAGTAAGGCCAGTTCAATCCCAATTCCTGTTTGCTTACAAAATATTTTCTCTTTAAAAAAAAGTCAGACGTTACATACAGTAAAGATTACCCTTTAAGTTCTGTGAATTTGAAGACATGTGCAGAAGTATCCCACCATTGTTGTCATTATACAGAATGTTTCCATCACCCCCTCAAACTCTGCATACTTTGGAGTCAGCTCCCACATCCCCCACCCCCAACCCTGCCCCAGTCCTCAGGATATATCCCTATGGTTTGGTTTTGGTGTGGATATTATATAAATAAAATCATGGGTAGGGTTGTTTTAGATCATTAAATTTTTAGTTGTTGATTTTTTTAAGGAATAAAGTCTTGTGTAACCTAGGCTGGCCTTAAACTTAGGAGTCTCCTGCCTCAGGCTCCCCAGTAGCTGAGACTACAGGCATGCAGCTGCGGGCAACTTCAAAACTTTTTTTTTTTTGGCATTACTGGGATTTGACCTTGACTCCTTGTGCTTGCTTAAGCACATACCCCCAATACCATTGGCTTTGAAAACTTTTATTTTTAAGTTTGCTTCTGAGTAAAATGTGTTGTGTGTAGTCTGTAAGCTTTGATAAATGTATTGAGTCGTGTTAACTACTAACACAAGAACGAAACAGTTCTTCAGCTTTCTCCCAACAGATTTCATTTCCTGCTACTTTAGAGTCAAATCCAGTATCCTACACTCTGGCAATGTCTGGTTTGTACTTGGACCTTAGCATTTGTGTTTTTAAAAATGTTGTGTAAGTGGAATCACACAGTACATAACTTTTTGGGATAACTCGCTGTGAATAATAGATTTGATGTTTATCCATGCTGTTAGGTGTATCAGTAGTTCTAATTTCTGAGCCTTGCTCTATAATGTGGATATACTAAACATTTATTCATTCCCAAGTTGGGGGACGTTTGTATTCTTTCCAGTTTGGGAGCACTGAATAAAACGACCATAAATGTTTTTGACTTTCTGTGTTTTCATTTTACTAGAGTAACTACTGATGGATTGTTGAGATATATTCCCAATGTATTTTGAGAACCTGCTCAACTGTTTTCAAAGTGGCTATACCAGTTGGCCTATTTGTCCTACTATGACTGGCATATTTCACTTCAAAAGTTCATCTATATTGTAATGCGTGTCATAAATTCCTTTTTTAAAGGCTGAATAGTATTCTGTTGTAAGTATGTCATCTTTTTCAGCTTTCAAGGTATAAATTGACAAATAAAAATTACATATTCAAGGTGTACAGCGTGATGATTTATTTAAAGTTGTGGTGGGAAAGGAACCCAAAACTTTATGCATGCTAGAAAAGTATTATACACCTGAGACCCAGCCCTATCCTCAATTTGGTGTTTTGATATAGATTCATAACTTCCTAGAAACTATTGAAGTGTTTGCAAAGTTACTCTACCATTGGATATACTCATCAGGGTATAAAAGTTTCAGTTCCACATTTCCAAGTTTTTTGTTTTTTGTCGGTTGTGGGGCTTGAATTCTAGGCCTAGCACTGTCCTTCAGCGCTTCAGCTCAAGGCTAGCACTCTACCACTTGAGCCACAGCACCACTTCTGGTTTTCTGAGTGGTTTATTGGAGATAAGAGTCTCACAGTCTTTCCTGCCTGGGCTGGCTTTGAACCACGATTCTCAGATCTCAGCCTCCTGAGTAGCTAGGATTACAGGAGTGAGCCACTGGCGACCGGCCTCAGCATTACTTTTTTTTTTTTTTTGGTCGTAGGGCCAGAACTCTGGGTCTGGACGCTGTCCCTCAGCTTTCAGCTCAAGGCTAGCACTCTACCACCTAAGCCACAGCGCCACTTCCGGCTTTTTCTGTTTATGTGGTGTTGAGGAATCAAACCCAAGGCCTTATGCATGCAAGGCAAGCACTCTACCACTGAGCCACCTTCCCTGCTCTCAGCATTACTTTTTCGGTGAAACTTTTTTCCCTATTGTATGTTCTTGCCAACTCAGTTAAATCCATTGGATGTAGACTTGTGGGTTTATTTGGAGACTTTCTATATTTTTTTCCATTTCTGTATGTGTTTACTTTTATGTCAGGAACATTGTTTTAATTACTACAATTTTGTAATGTGTTTTGAAATAAGGAAGTATGCTGCTTCTTACTTTACTCTTCTCAGTATTGATTTGACTATTAGAGTCTTTTGTACCTGTATGAACCTTAGGATTTTTTTTCTATTTTTTTTTTGTGAAAAATGCTATTGGAAAGCTGGGCACTGGTGGCTCATGCCTATAATCTCAGCTACTCAGGAGACTTGAGATCTATTTATTGTAGTTTGCTCAAAGTCCATGATACTTACATCTCCAATTAGCCACCAGCAAGCTGGAAGTGGAGCTGTGACTCAAGTAATAGAGGGCCATCCTTGAGTGAAAAAGCTAAGGGACAGCACCTAGGCCCTGAGTTGAAGCCACAGTACCAACACACACACATGGATCATTGGAATTTTCATAGAGATTGCAATAAACCTGTATTTTTTCTGAGTTATTTAAAAATAGATGTCAAATTTTACAATGTTTTTCTGTATCTGTTGATATGATTTTTTTTCTTGTATTCTGATCCTGGGGCTTGAACTCAGAGTATGGGTGTTATCTTTGAGCTTTTGTGTTCAATGCTAGCGCTCTACTAGTTGAACCACAGCTCCACTTCTAGCATTTTGGTGGTTAATTAGAGATAAGATGCTTCTGACTTTTGACTTTCTTGCCTGGGCTGGCTCTGAATTTCAATCCTCGAATTTCAATCCTCACATTTCAGCCTCCTGAGTTGAGTTGCAAGGATTACAGGTGTGAGACACTGGCACTGGGTGATAGGTTTGTTTGTTTGTTTGTTTATTGCTGGTCCTAGAGCTTGAACTCTGTCTCTGAGCTTTTTCACTCAAGGCTAGTATACTACCACTTGAGCCAAGGCTCCACCTTTGGCTTTTTTGTGGTTATTCAATGATAAGGGTTTCATGTACTTTCCTGCCCAGGCTAACTTTGAACCATGATCCTCAGATCTTAGTTAGCCTCCTGAGTAGGTAGGATTACAGATATGAGTCACCAGCACCCGACAATTCTATTTTTAGTTAGACTTTCAAAGTGGTGGATTCCATTGACTGATACGATTTTTTTTTTTTTTTGCCTGTCATGGGGCTTGAACTCAGGGACTGGGTGCTGTCCTTAAGCCTCTTTGTGCTCAAGGCTAGTGCTCTGCCACTTGAGCCACAGCCCCACTTTCAGCTTTTTCTGAGTGGTTTTTGGAGATATGAGTCTCACAGACTTTTCTGCTCAAGCTGGCTTTGAACCATGATCCTCAGATCTCAGCCTCCTGAGTAGCTAGGATTACAGATGTAAGCCACTAATGCCCAGCTGACTGGTAAGGTATTATCATCCATGTAAGAATGCTTTAACTTGACTCTTCAAATTTTATTACTATTATTACTTTGTATGTAAGGATATGGGTCTTGGACTCAGAGCATCATCCTCTCAATTGGCATTTTCACTCAAGACATGCACTCTGCCACTTGAATTGCACCCCTAGTCCCTTATTGTGTTTTTTATTAGACCCTTTCCAAAACAAGATAGATGTAACCATGTTTAACTGTGCATTCCTCCTGCTCTTTCCCTCTCTCAGATGGAATATGTGATGGCCTGGACAAGCAGCCAGGGCTTCTATAGTAAAGGATGACTTCATGCAGATTACCCTGGCCAGCTTGCCTTTGGGAGTGGACAGGTACTGGCAAGGCCCTGCCCTTTACCATTTTGCAATTGTGTCACAACAACGCTACTTTAAACACCTGAGCCAAAACCTCAGTGTAGAGGGACAGACAAGGAGGTCTCTACTGACCATGTCCTACTCCATCCTGTCATCCTCTTTCCCACCCCACACTCTAGAGCGGAACTTTCCAAATCCATCTGCACTTGGACATGTACACAGATTTTTAGTTGTTTAAGTCACAATTGGGAGCTGGGTGCTGGTGAGTAGATTACAATCTGGGTATTGCAGTTAAGCCAACCATGGTACACAAATCCTGTAGTCTCTTGCATCTGGTTGCCCAGTGCCTACTAAGTTCATGTTGGCATGAGGCTGGGAGGTCAGCCTTTTACCCATAATGCCTCATGATTACTCCATGGGATAGATAGAGGATACTGAGGCTCCAGGGGGTAAAATAACCCACTTGTCAGAGCCCAGGTCTGCCTGACATCCACTTGATCACTTGTATTCTGTGCTACTGCACAGACATCTTCAGGATGGGGAGATATTATGGGAACTTTTAAGAAACCTCAGGCTGGCATGCCTGCTGGAAAAGATCAATGAAATCTCACAT